ATATAAATATATGTATATATATATGTATACATATATATATATATATATATTTATATATATATATATATATATATATATATATATATAAAATATAAATATATGTATATATAATATATATAATATATAAATATATGTATATATATATGTATACATATATATATATATATTTATATATATATATATATATATATATATATATATATATATATATATATATATATATATATATATATATATATATATATATATATATATATATATATTATATAAGAAACTTATTGGTTTACCTAACAAGCATCATACTGCCCCGAACCAACACTAAGCCAAACTGTGTTGCTATAATTGTACTGCACTCCGCACGTAGTTTTTACAAAAATAGCAACAAACCCCACACTCTCGTATATTCTATGAACATATGTTAAAACATATCTTATAAAACACTTTTAACAAAGATTACGATCACAAAGAACATAATAACATCAAAATTAAATAAGACGGAAAATTAAAGTATTTACGAAAATACGGACTCATACAAATAAAGACATAAATTCACATATAAAACTTGAACATTTAGAGGACTACAAGCACAAAGCAAAATAGTTAACACAAACTTACAGAACACTGAAAAAACACTTACTTAAACTTAACTTAAAGAACACTTACTTAACTCTAACTTAACTAGTGAATAATACTCCCCTTTTTAACACCACCTCTCAATACTGGACATCTGTCCAAATATTATAATTCATCTAGGACTCCCTTGCACTTATATAATACATTTCTTCCTTCTCTTAAGACTCTTACGGCCTGATGGTTCCATATCAGTGGTGGAACTTTAATAGCTTTCACTGCAAAACTATAGCAGAGTTGGCGTTGTGAACATCGTGGTGAACAGACGCGTTTTTCTTGCGGTAAAATAATTTAAAAAAAAAATTATCTTGTCAAATAAAATTTGGAATGTTTAAATCAAAAGAATTAGTCTCAATTTCTATGATGAGAGAACTTCTAAATATTCAAAAAGAAACAATTCTATCTTTTTTCCGTGAATCACTATTTAGCATAAACGAAAAGTTTGATAACTTTCAATCTAGTTTTCAAGAAGCTCGGCGAGAACTTGATGAAACAAAATCTGCCTTAAATTTTGTTGGCGGTTTTTTCAATAATAAAGCTAGAGCAGTTGAGGAAAAAATAAATAAAATTCATGACGATTTATCAAATGTGCGAAAAATGTAGGGTAAAATATCTTCGGACAATATTAAATTAAAATTAAAAAGCGTCGATAATGAAGACCGTAACAGAAGAAATAATTTAAGAATTGACGGAATCGTCAAAAATAGTGAAGAAAAAGATTGGGAAATCACAAAAAAAAGGGTAAAACAACTATTTAAAGATAACCTTGGTATTGAAAAAGACATTATAATTGAACGGGCTCATCGAGTGGGAGCAACTAATAATAAACGAAAGCGAACAATCGTCTTGAAACTCCGTGATTACGAGGATAAAAAAACAATTATGGAGAGAGCAGTTAAATTAAAAGGAACCAATTTTTTTTAAACAAAGATTTTAGTTTCACAACTCCAAAAATTCGAAAAGAACTTTTTGATCAGGCTAAGATACATCGTCAAAATGGCTATTTTGCGAAAGTTGGTTTACAACAAACTTATTGTTCAAGAATTTCGAGAAAACACCCGCAACACAGACGTTTATCCGACATGCGTCAACGAGTAAGCGTTTTGAGTTTTTTTTTTTTTTATGCTATATTGAATATTTTTAAATAAGTTACATTGAAAAAAAAACTAAAAAGTGGCGTCGCTTTTTTCAGAGAAATTAGATTTTCATAATTTAAATTTAGATCTTTTTGAGGACAACTTTATATATAATCTATTTGAAGAAAACATAAATATTTTTCAAGAAACTCAAATCAACTTCATTAACACACCGTATATTGATCCTTTTAATTTTAAAGTAAAAACAGATGATGTTTCATTTTCTGTATTACACATAAACATTAGAAGCATGCAGCAAAACTTTGATAAACTTAAAGAATTTTTAAACATTTTAAATTTTAAATTTAATGTCTTGTCAACTATTAATAAACCAACGCGAGTAACAAAAACCTCGGCAACAGCAATAGACAATATTTTTATTAATAATTATTTAGAAACGACATTTGAAACCGGTATATTTATTGACAGATATTAGTGATCATTTCCCGGTTTTCATAAAAACAAAAAATCTAAAAGCTATGACTGATTGATATTCAAAAATTATACGTTTGAAAAAACGAAAATTAGAAATGAGTAACATTAATAAATTAACAAATAGACTAAAACAAGAAACATGGAACAACGTATATAAATGTCAAGATACGAATGGAGCATAAAATTTGTTAAGTACATATTTATGGAGTACTTTAATGGAACATGTCCTCAAGAGATTTTAAAAATTAAGTCAAAAGCAATCGCTAATCCGTGTATGGATAAATCGTTATTAAAGTGCTCAAAAAAAAAGCAAAAACTTTACAATAAATATCTGAAAAATAAAAACATGATAATGAAAAAAATTACAAAAATTATAAATATTTTTACCAAGATTTCATTAAAAATGCAAAAAAAAAGTATTACAGTAATCAAATTAACAAATGCAAATTTGATTGCAAAAAAACATGGTCATCAATGTCATAATGGGAAGAGAAAAGCTAAATTTACCTTCTCTACCTAAGCGAATTGTTATTGAAAACAACAATATATTTAGTAAAAAACAAATTTTGAAAGAATTCAATAAATATTTCACAAGTATTGGTCCAAATCTTGTAAAAAAAGTAGTACAAACATCTGCATCATTTAAAACCTTCCTTAAACCAACGAACAATGTTATCATGCTTGATTATGAAATAACCTATGAGGTACTTGAGAAAGATTTTTCTTCAATAAAATAAAAAAAAAAGACTCCAGGATTTGATGAGATATCTAGTAATATAGTTATTGCAAACAAACACAGTCTTAAAAGACCTCTTATACATATACTGAAGCTTCGTTAAATTCTGGGATATTTCCGGATGTACTTAAATTAGCAAAAGTAACTCCATTGTACAAATGTAATGATTATTCTGACATTACAAACTACAGGCCTATATCAGTACTTTCTGTATTTTCAAAACTATTCGAAGGTGTAGTTTATAATAGAATCTATGTTTACTTCATTAAAAACAATTTTTTTTACCCAAATTAGTTTGGTTTTCTAAAAAATCTCTTTACTGAGCATACAATCATTGAAATAGTAAATCAAATAACTAATGGTTTTGAAAATAACAAATTTACTTTAAGAGTATTATTTTGATTTATCAAAAGCATTTGATACAGTAGACCACACTATTCTGTTAGATAAATTAAGACATTACGGAACAATTAATAAAACCTATTATTGGATTAAAAGCTTCTTACAAACAGAAAACATTATGTAAATAATGCCCATTCTGGAGTGTTAAATGTCATATGTGGAGTTCCGCAAGGATCGATTCTTGGTCCACTTCTTTTTTTTAATATATATAAATGACTTCTGTAATGCAACCTTAAAACTTAATTCAGATATATTTGCAGATGACACGAATCTATTTCTTACCAACAACGATATCAAGAAATTATATGCGGACATGAATATTAAACTAAATAAAGTAAGTAATTGGTTTAAGGCTAACAAACTCTCACTTAATACCGAGAAAACAAACTATATACTTTTTCATAAAAAAACACAAGAAAATCTTCCTCTCAAGTTGCCGAACCTATTTATAAATGATCAAATATTTAAAAAGCAATCCAATATAAGATTCTTGGGAATAGTTGTTGATGAAAAATTATCCTGGCTTCCTCATATAATATATATCCAGTCAAAAATTACCAAAATCATAGGTTTAATGTATCGAGTTCGCTCGTACATCATTACAAATAGTCTTAAATTAATCTACTTTAGGCTAATTCACAGCCTCATTAGCTATGCAAACATTTTATGGGCATGTACTAAAATAGCAAAGTTTAAGAAATTTTATAGTTTTCAGAAACATTCCTGTAGAATCATTTACTTTAAAAATAGATGGGAACAGGCTAATCCCTCGACGAAAGATATGAAAATGATGAATCTTTAAAATAAATATCTACCAGCATTTAATTTTCATGTATCGTTACAATCACAATATCTCTCCTATAAGCTTTATTAATAAGTTTGAGTTAAATGAAAATGATAACTATAATCTTAGAGCGAATATGTTGAACACATATAAACTGCCAAGGATAATAAATAAATATTCAGAATACTGTATTTTATATCGAGGTCCAAAAGTATGAAATATTTTTCAAAAAGGGTTCAAAGGTACAGTGAGTTCATTAAGTTCATTCAAGTTTTTAACAAAAAAAAAAATCTTTAAAACCTGTGAAACATTTTTTATTAATAATGCATTGGATAAATTCTCTTAAATAAGTTTTTGTTTTGTTTCTACTTTTGTTTGTTGCTTGACAAATTTTATTAGCGGATTACGCATTTTGTTATGATATTTTATTGAAATTTTTATTTTGTATGTCATATTACAATATTTTAACTAAATCTTGTTAAAGGGGTTCTATGAAAAGATTGCGATGACGTTCTGTCATCCTCATCTTCTTTGAGTCCCAATCTGTTTTACTTATTTTGTTAAATTTTATATTATGTAGTAGAATTTGTAAATTTCTGATGTTATGTGAACAGAGGGAAAAAAAAAATATATATATATATATATATATATATATATATATATATGTATATATATATATATATATATATATATATATATATATATATATATATATATATATATATATATATATGTATGTATATATATATATATATATATATATATATATATATATATATATATATATATATATATATATATATATATATATATATATATATATATGTATAAACATATATATACACATACATATATATACACAGAACTCACGACAAAATTTGGTTAATGCTCTTTATTATAAACTTGATAAACATTTTATATACTAATATACAATAACAACAAAAATATAATAACAAACCTAAAGAAAAATTACAAAGGTCAATTATAGTTTAGTAAAAAGAAATTTCAATAGAATTATTTGACGTCATTTAAAGATCATATTATTCCTAAGCAGGCTGTTCACCATGTTCTCTGCTGAGCTATGAACATCTCCTCCAACTTGAACGGTATTCTGAAAGATATGTATAAATAAAACATAATTTAATAATAAAATGTTTATGTGTGAAAGATGTTATAAATTTGGGCGATAATAGTGTTAGTTTGTACCAATGACGTATAAATGTAATTAGATGCGTGACTCGCAGCTTTTTGCGTATAACTTAGTGAAGCCAACGTCCGTATTTTATATATATATATATATATATATATATATATATATATATATATATATATATATATATATATATATATATATATATATATATATATATATATATGTATATATATATATATATATATATATATATGTATATATATATATATATATATATATATATATATATATATATATATATATATATATATATATATATATATATATATATATATATATATATATATATATATATATATATATATATATATATATATAACTTAGTGAAGCCAACGTCCGTATTTTATATATATATATATATATATATATATATATATATATATATATATATATATATATATATATATATATATATATATATATATATTTACAAATGACTAATATAATTCAGATTTTTGTAAATTTTTGATTCATTTGAGACCAGACATGACTTAAATTTGAAATTTTGATAATGTTGGGGATCTGTTGAATGTTTAAGGTTCTTGAGGCTTCTATCATGATTAATAAAGCAAATTTCAAATCGTGAAAATTTACAAAACTAAAATCATAATATAATTCAACAGTAGAATAAAACCTAAAATAAAACAGTAGATTGTATAGTAATAAAAAGAACATTTATAAACATTCAATTAAAAGTAGGCATGAAACAAAAGCTGTAAAATTTTAAAGCCTTTTAGCAAAAACCGCCATCTTGCGGTACGACAAAAATCTTAAATTCTGGCTTCACTTTTAAACTCAAGTCACGCATCTAGTTATACTTATACGTCATTGGTTTGTTTCTTATAATAGGTTTATTAAATAAAAAAAGCAATTCCTTTTACTCAGCGTTTTAGTTGCTTAGCTTTATGTGAATATAAAATTTGACAATTTTGCTCAAATTTTTTTAAGTATACCTGAGCAATTACTCAAAAACGTGAAAGCGCTTTTTTTTTTTTATGAAACTGGCATATTAACAAGCATGAAGTAATTTATATATATGAAATACGGAGGTACAGGAATTACGTTAAGTACTGCAAACTATCATTATCTATCACAACGATTTTTATCATGTATTGCTACTGCAGAGCATACATTATTTTAAAACTTCAAGAAATACAGTTTCTCTCAATACTAATAATTTTATTTTGTAAGAAAGTTTCGCTGGGTTATGGATACCAGCATCATCAGCTTGTAAAATATTACAATAATATTTTAATCGTTATAGTTTATATAAAATTGTTGCCTCTCTATATTTTCTTTCAAACCTTTTATTTTCTACTTTTAATGTTCTTGTTTTTTCCCAAATAATATTTTCTTTGCAAAAGGTTTTATGATATGCTAATGCAGATTGATTAGGTTTGTTTTCATTAATGCTCTTCTGATGTTGATGCATTCGCGTATTTACCTGCATTTTTGTTTGACCTATGTATACCTTGGAGCAGTTGCATTTTATTATATAGGTTGCAGGATGGCTGTTACTCGGTAAATTTGATTTGTTTTTTAATGTTAATAAAGATCCTAAATTTGGGTTTGATTTAAATACTGCTCTGTACCCTGCTTCTCGGAATATTTTTTGAAGTTTTGGTGAAAGGTCTGGTACCCATGGTAAAGACACTACAGGAAGATTATTGTATTCTGATGGAATTGTGTTTTTATTTTGTCTTTTTTGATGAAATTGGTGTGTAATATTCCTCAATAGCTTTTCATCGTACCCATTTTCAACAAACATGTCAGTTAAAAAATGTTAACATCGAACTGTTTTGCTTGTTCGATGTTAACATCGAACAAGCAAAACAGTTCCAAGATATTTTAAATCAAGAGCATCCTGCAATACAATACACAATTGAAGTTGAAAACAAAACAAAAACACTTAATTGTTTTGATATAATCATTACAAATAACACACTAGGAAAATATGAGTACAAAGTATATCGAAAAGAGGCAATCACTAACATTCAAATTAAACCGCAGTCAAATCACGATCCAAATATTTTAACAGCTATATTTAAAGGTTTTCTCCACAGAGCTTACTTCATCTGTAGTAAGCATCATTTGCAAAATGAAATAAATTTTTTAACTAACATGTTTGTTGAAAATGGGTACGATAAAAAGCTATTGAGGAATATTAAACACCAATTTCATCAAAAAAGACAAAATAAAAACACAATTCCATCAGAATACAATAATCTTCCTGTAGTGTTTTTACCATGGATACCAGGCCTTTCACCAAAACTTCGAAAAATATTCGGAAAAGCAGGGTTCAGAGCAGTATTTAAATGAAACCTAAATTTAAGATCTTTATTAACATTAAAAAACAAATCAAAATTACCGAGTAACAGCCACCCTGGAACCTATATAACAAAATGCAACTGCTCCAAGGTCTACATAGGTGAAACAAAAATGCAGGTAAACACGCGAATGCATCAACATCAGAAGAGCATTAATGAAAACAAACCTAATCAATCTGCATTAGCATATCATAAAACCTTTTGCAAAAAAAATATTATTTTGGAAACAACATTAAAAGTAGAAAATAAAAAGTTTGAAAGAAAAATTAGAGAGGCACTAGAAATACAAAACAACATGTGCTCTGCACGAAACGGCGGAATTAATCTTGATGAAGGCCAATATGTAAAAACTATGTTTTGGACGCCATTTTTAAAATTTAAAAATCAAAAGAAGTCATGCAACCGCTGACGTCAATATTAACAATTTTATATAAACTATAACGATTAAAATATTATTGTAATATTTTACAAGCTGATGATGCTGGTATCCATAACCCAGCGAAACTTTCTTACAAAAAAAAACTATTAGTATTGAGAGAAAATGTATTTCTTGATGTTTTATTTTAATATATAATATACTCTCATAGAAGATGTCATCTTTCAAATGCTTTAATATACCTTTAATAACTTAATGTTAAGATTTGTTATTTCGTTGCCTCTGATTGGTGGAAGTGAAAAGCCATTATCTAGGAAAGCTTAAACAAAAAATACGCTGTTAAAATAAAATAATAATTTATTACTGTATGCCATTATTAATAATGTCATTTATTTATTTTTGTTTTTATTATGCATGTTTAACAAAACTTTTAGCAAAACAGTATTAACTTACAGTTTGCATTTTTGATTATTGCAGCATCAACTAATTTCTTTATTAAAAAAGAATCTAGTGGTATCTAAATGAAAAAAAATAGTTATAACTGCTTAAAAAAAAACTTTCCAAAACTTAGCTGTAATTATTTAACCATAAATTTTTTTCACGTTATATTTTAATCTCTCTTACCATTATTATTCAGAATTGTTTTAATATTCCTACTTAATTAAACGCAAAACTAAATTCAAGAAGGATAAAACTGTCTAAATACATTTTGTTTTGTCTTCACTTTGGTCACAAAAGTTATAATAACCTGACAACAAAATTAATCACTTTGGCTGCAAATGTCATTAACTATATCAATGATCAGTTGTTTATTGTATATATCTAACAACATTATGTTGTTAGACATATAAAACAAACTTATGTATATTAACTGTTGATGTATGTTGTCAACATACATCATTTCAACTGTGCTTTGTTCATGGTCTTTTTCAACCAAGATAGACTGTTCGAAATCTGATAAAGTGAAATCATTGCTAAGGAAAAAAGATCTTACGTTTAATGCTGACAAATTAGTTTAAGGTGTATGTTCATCAATTATTAAAAAGTTTTAACAAAAGCCTTTTAAAAAAATTACCATTAAATAAAATTTTTTCAAAAAAGTGCACTCGCATATTTATTATCTCAAAGATGGGTTGAGTCCTAGCCATTGCAATTACAATTATTACGAAGTTTTGAATAATAAGTTGTTTATCGTCACTTTAAATACGAAGCTGTAGAGCCGGGATAACTCAGTTGGTTAAAGCACTGCTAATAAGTTTGGAGTAATTATTGACCAGATAAGCATATGAGTAGTACTTCGACGCGATGGGAATTTATCTCGATTAGCTCTGCTATTTCGATGTTTCCTTGACGTATAATAAATAAACAATCTATTCAAGTAAACTAAAATTATCAATACTCTAAAAGAACTGACGTGACGGAAACTGTGATGCAAATCGTTAAATCGTTAAATACTGCAAAATGTCGTCATACAAAAAAAGTCAAATATTTTGTAGTTTAAAAGTTGCATAACTTTTTAAAAAATAATAACAAGTTTTTTGACACTGTAGATCAGTTTTTGCGACACTGTAGATCAATAAAAAGCTAACACTGTAGATCACTAAATACTTCTAACAAAATTGGAGTATTATTAAATCAGAGGCATCCCACTTTAATGGTTTACTTCTTATCTTAACAATAGACAACAGTTTGTTTCTATTAATGGGACTAATTCTGTCATAAAAAAGTGCTCAAATGGTGTCCCTCAAGGTTCAGTTTTAGGACCACTTCACTATCTTATTTTTAATAATGACTTAAATACTTCTTTTAAATTTGCAACTGCCAACCACTTTGCGGACGATACTAACATGCTACTGATTGACAAATTTCTAAAACAAATCAGCAAAAATATTAATAATGATCTCTCATAATAGTAATGATCTCTAATTTTGTTCAATGGCTTTGATCTAATAAACTTTTTCTTAACTGTAATAGAACTGAACTCATCGTCTTTAAATTCAGTCTGACACCTATTAAAAAGCACATAAGTTTTAGACTAAGCGGACAGAAAGTTTATCCTGTGTGATCTATCAAATATCTTTGTATTAAAGTTGATTCCAACCTTTCCTTCAAAGACTATCTAAATAACTTGGCAATAAAAGGAGATCTAATGGAATGTTGGCCAAAGTCCACCTTTATGTAAATTTAGAAACTTTGCTTAATATATACCATGCTATTTTTGGGTCTCGCCTAAGGTATGCATGTCAAACATAGGGACAATCCCAAAAACACAATTTCTCAAGACTATCCCATCTCCAAAATAAAGCATTAAACATAATATATTTTCAACCTAATAATTTTAAATCTAGTGTGCTGTACTGTATTTCCAATACACTCAAATTAAGTGACCTTGTTATATTCCTTAACTTTATCTTCAATTTATCTGGAATTACCATCACCATAACCTTCCAGTATCATTCAACAATTTTTATAATAAATGTTTAAACTGTCAATATCCTCTTCTTTCGTTTAATAACTTAAACTTACCTGTTTCAAAACACCATTCTATTAAGCATGGAAATAAATCCATTAAATACCAAAGTATAAGCGCGTGGAACAATCTCCACCCTGATTAAAAATCTCTAAACTCAATCTCTGACTTTTTTTTTTAATTCACCTCTTCAAGGCCGAAAAGGCCGCTACAGTAGAGAAGGCTACTTAATAGTGGTTATAACCCTCTCTCAACTCTAAAACTCCAAAACACGAACCTTGACGAACAAGGCCCCTGCGCGGAGAAACAAGTTGAGCGCGGTACTACCAGGGACGTGGTGGGGACCTTCAAGGTTAAGCTTTTTAAACACTTGTTATCAAAATACAAATGAATATCTCTGCAATCAAACTCCAAACTCCCTAAAAAATTTATAAATTAGTATTCCTCTTTTCATTCTCCTATCTCAATAACTCTAAATTCTCAATCAAGTTCTATCTACCTAATCTTTTCTTATCCTTAATTCTTTGGTTATTTATTCTGTTTTTCCTTTTATATATTTATTTTTTTTCATTTTGCTATTTTTATTGTTAGTATATTATCATTGATTTTCTTGAATCTTTATTTATCGTCATCATCAATTTATTTTCTTTCATTTCTATTTATCTTATTTTTATTGGTAATATTATCATCGTTATTAAAGATTTTTTATTATGATTATTATTCTTTTTTATTATGATTGAATTTTATAATATGATTATTATTCTTATCATTATTATTTTGTTATCAGATGATAGTTGTATTAACTTTTTTGTTATTTTTATTTTTATTTTATTTTTTATTTTACTATCATTTTTACTTATCATTGCTATATATATATTAATTTAATGTTTATTGTTGTTTTAATTGTTAGTAATATTTGAATTATTAATATAATATTATTATTACTATTAATATATATTTCTAAATGTCTATATTGATATATTGTATTATGTATTTGCTTTATATTAGTACTCGTACTATTGTAAATATCCTTGAAATGTTAAACAACTTATTTCAGAATATATTTGATATGATTTTTGATTTAATTTTTGAACATAATTATTTAGCTCTTTAATTGTTTCATTTTTATTTTACGTTTTTTTTTTTTTTTTTAGTTGTTGAAGTTTTAAACAAGTTTTAATCTGTCAATGTGTGCTGAAAGCCCTTTCGTTTGTAGTGATTTTTAGTATGAGAAGGATAAACCTGATCAATTTCCTAATTTATGAAAATGATTCTTTTCAACTTGTTTTTCTTTCATGTAAAACACGTAACAGAGAAAGAAAATTTTTTGCGTTATATTAACAAAAAAATAGCGTTCAATGCACAATGAACCACAGTGACCGCCAGGTTTGAAGTCTCCCCACATCAGATTTTTTTATATATATGCTTAGTTGTATATTTGAGAATAAATATTTAGTTAGTAAAAATCTCTAGGGGATTGAAGAATGTATGAAAATCAAAAAGTAAAAAGTATAGTTTTTAGTTGAAAATATCCGCCATTTCCAAAAAAATGGCTCCAATTTGCTAATCAAATACCAGCAATTTTTGATTTTTAAACCTACTCTGATGCACAACGACTTGCTTTTTACTAAATGGCTGTCAACAATTTATGTGCTGTTTGTTTTAAAACCTTTGGTAAAAAGTCAGAAAAGCTTCATAAAATAACTAAAGCTATTGAAAAAAGAATAAAAACTTTTATTTGGGATAGCTATGATCAAAATTTAGCTAATAGCTGGATATTAGTGTCGGGCCAACTACTTACCAACTGTCTTTTGTTTATTGGGATATTATAGACATAGTTTAAAATTTGATTTGTTTGTTTATTATTTGATGAGGTATCAACTGTTTTAAAATATACATTGCTGAGATCTACAACTATATAAACATAATTTAACTGGAAAAAAAAGAATGGTGTTTATGCATATTTTTAATGCTACTATAGGAAGAGTGGGATAAAAATTGACATCATTTATAAAGGAGGACTTTCCAAAAATTGACAGTTTGATAAACGGGAGAGGGGGAGTCAATAAAATTGAGAAAAATAACTGACACTATTTATGGACAACCCCTGAGTAGTATTTTTTGGTTTCTTTTAATGTGTAATAGAGTTTTAATACTAATATGATTATAAGGAAAGCTTACCTAGTGGGCACAGGGCGTAAAAAAAACGCGTTGTAAAAATCTTTTAAACGTTTTGAAAGTTTTTGACTTCTTGTAAACGTTCAAAAAAAGTCTTTTTTAGCACCCAAGTCAATTTAGTTACCCACTGGGTAACTAAATTGTTTAAGAATGTACTGGCTAAACTAGGATTTGCTTAAAGATTGCAATTGTGATTTGTTGAGCATTGTCTTTTATCTTAGTGTTTTCCTGATTCATACTTTTTACAGGTTTTTAAATCTTTTTAAAACTTCTTTGACTCGCCTTCTTGACTTCCTAGTAATTTTTAACTATAATTGTGGTTAATTTTCAGCCTTGTGGAAATATAAAAAAAGCCGTTTGAATTAATCTTTAAAACAAGGAAACAAGAAGTGTAAATACAAATTAATTTAAAAAGTTTAAAAAGCATAATATTTGTTAATGAAACAATTTTTTTTTTATTTTTTATAACCGACTCAAAGTTGCAATGATTTCTATATTTTGATTGGATAACTAAGGTTGTTACGACATAATATGTCTAGCAGATCAGTCGATTTTTTAGACATTTTTTTGCTAATATAAAACATTTCCCATATTTTCCCAGGGTTAAGTAGGAAGTAAAAATGCTATTTAATGTCGGAAAAAATGACTTGCAGCCAGGATTCTAATGCAAATTTAACGTGTTTAATGTTTCATAAGAAAAATTTGTGGCAAATGAAACTTCAATCTTGAATTACTCACACCTCGTCATTCCATGCTACCATTATGCTACTTTGATATATTAATTTATGGGAAATTTTACTTTATATAATAATGTTTGTATACAGTTTTAGGTACAACTATCTGCAAGTCTATTGGACAAAACAATTTCTGTTCGCAATACCATTGGAAAAAATAATGAGTGAGAAAGTTTTACTTTTTAATGACAAGGACACTTTAACACTAATTTTAACACTATTTTCTTAATACAAAATTTCAATGAACTAAATAATGTAATGTAATAAATTAAAAAAATGATATACTAAATAAAAAATAAATAATGTAATACCAATGCACTTCCAACATAAGAACGAACGACCACAGCATCGTAACTAAATGAAAGTATTCTCTGAGATAAAAATTATAGAAAACGGGTGTCTCTTTTTTTTTTTTTAAAAAAACATACTCAAAGGCTGAAATTTTAGCAGTGATTTTGTTGTTTGAGACAAATATTTCTGCAACAGCTTTTATATCCTATAAAATAATATTATAAATATCTATAAAAAGTACGAAGTATTATCATTTCATAATGTAAATGTTTGTTAATTCCATACTTGGCACGAATTTAAAAAAATTAATATCACTTACAAACTTGATTAAAAACGCATCTAATGTCAAATCGTTATCTCGCACTTTGAACATACCTTCTGTGAACAAATTTATTTTAAAATCATCTTTTTCTATTAAAACTTGAGGTGGTTTATACGATCGGATAAAGAGAGCCATCTTCTCGCCACCATACTTTAACAGCTAACAATAAAATCATTATATATGTATATATATATATATATATAAATATATATAGTGTGTGTGTGTGAGAGAGAGAGAGAGAAAAAGAGAGTGTGTGTTTGAGCGAGAAAGAAAAAAAATGGTAACAAAAGTATAATTAACTTACACCTGGAAAAAACAAAGTAAATGTTGATGTCTGGAGAAACTTTTGAAGATCTTTGGGAGTCTAAAAAAATTTAATCAAAAATATGTACAAACTAGTATTTCCCTTCTTTCACAAAAAGCTGACTGTGTTCTAAAATTGTTTTAAATTAAAAGTGAAAAAGTATAAGGTTTAAAATCCGTGTGATAAAAATAAGTTCTATTACAGGGCCGACATCACCAGGGGGGGCCATGGTCACTTGCCCCCCCCCCCCCCATTTTTTTTCTAGTGCCTTTTTTTTTTTTTTTTTTTTTAACAAAAGATTTTTTAAACAAATTTTCATTAAGATATAGAGGACTTTTTTCACAAATTGATGATTGTTTCATCCCCCCCCCTCACCACCACCACTTTAAAACCCGCGTCGTCATCCTTGTACTACATTATTCTATATTTATGTGGAGGAAATGTAAGAACTGACATGCGTCCTTAAAAAAAAGTAGTTCCAAAAATAGTTCTAAAAAATTTAAATTGCCTTTAAATTTTTTAGTACTTGAATTGACAATTATTTATTCTTTAAATAGTTTACATAACAGTAACGTGATTTGAGTTGGAACTTGATGTTAAAGGTAAACTATGAGCTTGACTCGGCTTTTTGTTTAAAATTATTCTACCAAATAATTTTTCAAGCAATTGTTTATTAATAAGAAACTCTAATGTACTGATAAATGGAGAAAACCAATGTGTTAGATACTAAAAATTAGTTTAGCTAAGTATATTTTGCCGTTTAAAAATGTTTTCAATGAACAAAAATACAAAACCTTTTATTTATTTTTTTAAACTTTATATATTTTTATATATATCTAACCTATTGGCCTAAAGTTTTTTACAGCCAGAGAAACGACTAACATAAAGCTATAAATTGCTCCTGCAACAAACCGCTCAAACTTAATTTAATAGTAGCATCAAGTAATTCAACACAAGTAGGTTGGTGCTGAATTACCAAATACCCCTGTTATTGTTGTGCCGTCCGTAATCTCTACCAGAATATCGTTATCACCAAGTTAATAACGGAGAGTTTATATAGCATCAATTCGGCTTACCTATCTTGCTTCACTCAGTGATCCAAAATTAAGATTAGAAAAATGTCGTGCTAAAACTTTCCAGCGACTAGTTAATGCCAAAAAAAGGATACATATAAACGTTGCACTAGATCAAAGAACGTTATTGCTTCAAAGCAACATTTAACAGCATCATTAACAGCCAAATTCAATGTATGTACACAACAAAGAATAAACAATGTCTGCAGATCTAAAGTTCTTGGTTGGATTATCAAATACGATGAATGTAATCACTATAATTAAGATATAAACCAGAGAATTTATCTATTTGACTCACTTCAGATTCTTGGTGTTTAACGTGTATTACGTGTAATTGAAACTCTTCTGATAGTGTCATCTCATCGGCTTCCCTGTTTGCTTCAACTTGATTGTTTAACTCATTTGCGCAACTTTCATTTTTCTGCGGTGTAAATAGATAATTTAACAAAGAGCCAGCTTGTTTTGTTAAGAATCTTCATTTGCAGTCCGTCGTTTACGATATTACACACCAGACATAATTTTTTCTTTGCTATTGTGAATAGAAATATCAAAGGAAACTGTTTAAAATCATAAAAATGATAACTTCGTGTACCTTTAAGATTTTAAATTAAATTATTATTTTAACTTTGTTTATAAAACTTTCGATGTTACACTTTAAAACTTTTTAAGCTACATAAATGCATAATGTCTTTTTCTTTTCTCAGGTCATGATTTTTATTTGTAAATTTATGTAGGAGAGACTGACCTAAAATGGGCTCTCTTTCAGAAAATGATGGAATCAGCTAGCTGTAACCATCCAAAAATTACAAACAAAGTTTTTTTCAGAAAACTTAATCTATGTTTTTACAATTTAACATCAGAAAATTAAAGGTGTAACTATGCTAGAAGAAAAATTCAGCTCAATAAAATTTGGATCATATGATCTCTTCCTTCATTTTGAGTTCATACTTGGAGGAAGCTCGGTCAATAATGGAAAAGCAATCAGGATTTGTTGAATTTTTGCGTTTTTGTGATGAATTGATTTGTTTGTAAATATAGGAAGTCTCATCTGAATTTAAGTGTTCTCATATTTACAAACAACTCAATTCATCACAAAAACTAAAACCCTTGTTGTGTAGTGTCTGGTGGTAGAAGATAAGGCTTCCCATACTTACAAACACTTCAATTCATCACAAAAATGCCAAAAAATTTGTTTCCCATTTTGTTTGTTATTAATTATCTCACACTTTTTGTATAATCTTTTGTAAAATTTCATGGTATTTATATATTTTATGTAACTATGGTAATTGTTTTAAAAATTATTAAATTTTTAATGAAGTCCAAAATTTGTTTATATACAGAAAATGTAACTAATTTTTTATACCTGATGATGTCAATTGATATTGATAAAACAAGTTGTTAAATATTTTTTTAAAAATTGTTATTTATTTCAAAATTATTACAATTTTAAGAAAATTTGGGAGGTAGGGGCTTAGGTACTCTGCCCTACCCCTCTCCCCGGAGGTTACGGCACTGAGTACTGATTAATTCTAAATTCGCCACTGCCATTTAAAACCACTTCTCTCGTTCTTTTTTCTAACCATGTCCACTTAAAAAATTGCGCTTCTAATTTCTTCTATTTTAATGTTTGTACTCTTTAGAAATAATGAATTAATAATGCTTAAGTTATGTTCTTTATTTTTTTAAATTTAAATTATGCTCATAATGTAAGTCATGGTGTTTCAGTCTTTTTATCAATTAAAAAAAAAGTAAATTACATCAAAATGTTAAAAATAAAAGTATAAATATGATGAAAAAGTTTTTTTAGTTAGCTTAAAAGATTGTGAAGATCAACTTTTAATCGTTACGATTAAAAAGGAGTTTGATTATCGAATTAAACTTCTGTGTGGAATAATAAATTAAATGTTTTGCTCTTTCACGAATAAGGAACTTTTCACCATTTAAACGAACTTCTTTCTTATTCAACGCTTTTATATTGTCAAACATTTCTTACCGTCCTTTGATTTGGAAATTTTCTCAAAATATAATAATAATCTAATTATTAAAATTCATCAAAACTTTGCATCGTTATTAAGAGACTAAATCTCTCATTAGATGTAATTAGAAAATTAGAAAATAAATCAAACATCCGTCCTCAAAGGGTTTTTAATAACCAAAGTTTATAAATCAATAAATAGTTTAAACCCAGAATTTATGTCAGATATTTTTATCAAAAAATCTCTTCCGTTCGGTCGACTAAAAACTTAATACTCTTAGTTATAGTCTCTAACCATGACATAAAAATAGTTTATATCAACCTTGCTTTTTTGACAAATTATGTCAATAAAGATGTTTAAAAAAAAAAATTATAAAATGGCATGGAAAATCTTGTTTTAGTAAAATTAGTCAAAATAATTTTTTTAATTTTATCTTTTATTTTTGTATTTTTGTTTTTATTTCTACGTCAAAAATAGTTAATTTGTTTTAACTGTTGCCATTTATTTTTTTATTCAATTAATTATAAAAATATATATTGCAGAATTGCAATATATATTTATATGTACGATAAAAACAATTGTAATTTGATTTAACTCTCGACATGAATGTTTGTGTGTGTATTGACTGATCTGGTTTAATGTGTTGACTTTAATTAGTTTATATATTTTATAAAACTATTAAAAACGTTTAACCTAAAAAAGTAAATAAAAAAAATAAACTGGAATTCCTAAAGCCAACTAAAAAACCTTTGTATTTTTTGATTGTTTTGATAAACCTTCTTATCCGCCTTAAGTTATATTGTTTTGCATATTAAAAAGCTGGACATTTTATACATTTTTATGGTCTTGCGATAGTGGTATAGAGGTCCTAACAAACCCACTACTACACAGTATATATGATTAAAAAATCAGGGACCCCTGCTTGGATTCCATTTTTAGGGCAAGCACAACTGCACCCATCCACCAGGGTTAATTCGGCTTTAGACATAGAAATCACTTTTTGTGAATTCTGCAAAAGCACAACCTATTATAACCTAGAAATTTAACACAGTTCTAATATAAAAATTTGATATTAGTTGCTTCAAAAAACACAACAAAAAAATAGCAATAAATTAACTGTAAATATTGTTTACCACTTTTAATAAACCATCTTTAATTTGCAATGCTTTGAATGCATATGACGTTTTAAACTAATATCATTAGTTGAATTTTTTTTAGTGAAGTGTGATTAGTTAACCATTTTTTAAGTGAAGTGTTATTAGTTAACTTTAAATTATCATAACTACGGGGCATTTAGTTGAAAATTATGTTACTACAAAGAATCGAAAAATGTCGTAGTTTTAGTTTGTTTTCTCAATACCGTTACATTTTAATTCTTTGGTATTTCTTAAAAAAATTATTTCTAATATATAAGTAGAAAAAAAGTTAACTTTAAACTTTGCGTATTTATTACAACATACAAATAACAAAAAGATAAAAGCTACTTATAATTGCATAACTTAATAAAGCTTTTTTTGCATTAAAGGTAATAAAAATATTTTGACTTTAGGATATGTATTGTAAGACTATTATATTGTAAGATATATTGTTGCTAACTGTAGGATTGTTGCTAACGGCAAGATAGTTTCAATTAAGTCAATAGCTTTTTATTTTGGCTCTGTAGCTTTCATCATAGTTGTATTAAAAAGTTAAAATTTAAAAAAATTAAAGAAAACTTAAATGTTAGATTAAAATCCGTTGTATTATTCTGCTATTCATTGCCACGTTACAAATTATGTTTATACCCGCTTTCTACTGCAGTGAGTTATTGTTGAGACCATTCCTTAACATATGCAAACGGAATTAGTCTAGTCTCTTAGCATTTGCTTTTAATCTTTTAACAAGAAAATTTATGAGGGACTAACTTTTATAAAGTAAAATTTATGAGGGTCTAAAAATCTTATCAAAGAACACAGTCATAATAATTTATTGTTCTGTTTTCACTTTTGCCTATTTTATTTGCGAAAAAAGTTTTTAGACATCAAGTATTTCATGTATATACAGCACAGCAATTGTTTAGTGTAAATTTTACCCAAAAAGTGACGTTTATTTGATTATCTAAACAACTTTGTGATATCTAAATCTTTTGTTTTTTGTGCAAAAAAAAAAATAAAAATAGTTTAATTAAAATAAATATTTATTTCAAAGAATTTGACTTAATACATTAAAAAAATACTTTCAAAAATACCTTAGGATCCCAACTGTAAATTTCTTGTGTTAAAGCTCCTCCTTTATGATAGACTTCTGCAGCTGTGTTAATTGTATAGTCGGTTATCCAAAGATAAAGCATTTGTGTATCTTCATCAGACACAGTTGGTTGAGGTAACAAAAATTGGTTTAAAGAAGAGTCGTTTTGTAATAAAAACTTTCCCTAAATTGAAATTATAATCGAGTTAACCATTACTTTATTAAAGAAAGCCTAATAGTTACTGTTAACTAAATGATGACACTGTTTTCACAGTATAATCCTAGTCTTCGCTTTATTGACGTGCTAAAACTTAAGTGACGTGTATAGCTTTAAGACGTCCTCTCGTACCATTTATGATTAAAAGTATATCGTTTATTCAGTCTAACATATGTTATATAATTCATAATATCTTTTAAAAATACTTACAAACCCAAAAGTAAAAGTTAGTAAAAAAGAGATTTATTAGGAAGAAGTAGATTTATTTTTACTTAAGAGTAAAATATTTTTAAAAAATAAGGGGTTACACCCTACATCACCAAATTTGCTGAAACTTGGCACAAATGCGTAAAGATGAAAGTTAGGAAAGACTGTGAATTTTTTCAAAATTTTTATCCCTTAAAGGATTAAGCAACTTAAAGTTTGTTGGATTTTGACTGAAAAATGAGGTGGAAAAAGTGCTGGAAATATGTCCGTTTACTATTACCTTAATAAGGTGCTTGTAGTAATTTTGCAAAGGTAAAACTTGGTAACAAAGGAGTTTTAGTTGTGTTTAATCTGAAAATTGTAGATTTGTACCTCTCAAAACAACAAAATATAGTTTAATTTAAGATCTACAAGACACTAACTAAAGACAATAAAAAAGAGCATTAACAACTATAGCTCTAGAAAAAACCTGAATGATAGAAAAAACTTTTAGTTTTAATTTTCTTAAAGACATTTATCTACTTTACGAACCAATTTTTTTTTTGGTCTCAAGTTTTGCTGAGAATTTATTGATCTTTTTGTTTTTCAGTTTTTCTGAAGAAATTAAAAAAAAAATTAGTTAGCATATTTACTTTTATGTTGAATTAAATACAATTATATTTGTTTTTAATCTATTTTTGAGTCATTTAAAAAAAAAAAAAAGTTTGTGTATTATGTGATTTTAATTTTTACAAAGTTATCACAAAATATTTTTAAATGTTTTGTAAATTTATGAATTTGTTACTTGTTATTTTTATTACATAACAATTATGTCATTTGCATTGTTATTTTTATTACATAATAGTTGTGTCATTGAATTAAACAATATTATGTAATCTTTTTTTATGGATTGTTTTTTTGTAATAAAAAAGTGATTATCATTAAGTTTTATTTAAGCATACAGTTTGTGTTTAAATTTACTTTTCTTATTTGGAATACTGTATTAATGATTCTTGTATTTAGGTGTTTAGGTTATAATTCCTCATTATAATTTTATATGTATAATAAAATCAACTGCCCTTTTGTAAAAGATTATGGGGCTTGTTATAAACAACCATATACCTTAGTAAAAATCCGATTGAAGATATTGACAGAAAGGATCATAAATTTATTGTAAAACGAATCAAGAATAAATTACAAGAATATGCACACACCATCATTATATGTCAATAGTGAGATATGAAAGTAATCAGAAAAGTTGCTGTAATGACTAACAAAAAAGTGATTCACAGAAAAAGTGTGTAGAGGTTAAAGCTCATATATTTACATTTTAATGGGTAATACCATTCTTAATTAGTTGTTTATAAGTTTTCGTTATAAGATTTGTACATTAATTTATAATAATAGAATAATTAATGTTATAGTATTTAAGTAATATAGTCACAACTTCTTTTCGGCATCTCTATGTGTGATTACAATTCATACTGTGTTAGAAGCAGAAACCGTAAGTTTAAATTTTATACCTGGAAAAAAGTTGTGTCTAGTTACGGATTGGCCACTGTAATAATAACTGTAATAAAGAAATATATATATATATATATATATATATATATATATATATATATATATATATATATATATATATATATATATATATATATATATATATATATATATAAATATATATATACTATAATATATATATAGTTGAAGCTGTTTAGCTAGAAAATGTTAATGGGAATAAGCAAAAAGTGGATGGCGTGGTGCCAGTAAGATGGTATCGATATGATTTAGTCTCAATTAAGTTAGTCGCAGGTAAGTGTTTTAAAAAGTTTTACTGTTTGTTTTTTTTTGGACTAATTTTTTAATGTGTTTCGCTTGATGAACGTTGTTTATTACATATCAAATTAAAATATTTATTTTTAGACAAAAAATAAAACCAGTAAGCAATGTCTGTTTATATTCACTTGTTCAAGTGCCATTTTTTTTAAATGATCTGAATAATTTTGTTGTTTTTATTTTAGTTGAATGATGAAATATTTATACAAAAGATTGGCTCTTTAACTTTTATGTTAAAATTGCTATTTTTTGTGAAAATGATACTGGAAAGGTACACTTTCTTATATCTAAACATCATTGCAGCTTTCTAGTCTTCGTTTTTGTTTATGTGTATTTCATCTGTATTGCTAATGATATCGCCAGTTTTTATGATTTTATGTTTTTAAGTAAATTATGTTTCAGGCTAAAATAGAGCTTTAAATAATACTTTTATCCAGGTTAAATAAATAACAACTCTCAAGGTGTATTTGCTGAATTATCTTTTCCTTTTGATAGTCTTTAGCCAATAACAGATTTTTAAATTGCTATGAGTCTAAAACTCTTAAATTTAGCGAAATTCAATTAAAAAGTCACGTCATAGATGATAGAAAAATATCAATATCTGTTTTCAATAACTTGGCTTATATAGCTAATCTGAGAGGTGCAAATGTTTAGCTCGGTTTAACTGCTACATAATAAAATACATCGTTTTACAGTCATTTTGATTGTCGTAAATTTCTTTAGCACACTAATTTTTATATATTTTCAGACTGTTTACTCCTGTCCCATACAAACTTATTGGGTTTAAAAAGAAAGGACCGCGTTGGAAACATGAGGGGTTTATAAAGATTAGCCCTTTTTGAATTAATAGTCGGTAAGTCTAAAGTGTTTTACTCAGCTAATCAAGTTACATTTGCCTTTTGTATTACATTCAAGCAATAGACTGTTTTTTATGTTACTTATAAAAGATGAAGAAAATGCTTCCTCTTTTATATTGACATCTAAAAGAGGTTTTTTTCTCGGCATTGGGAATAGCTATTTATCATACTTTCTATGAAGAGCTATTATCTTTTTCATTTGATAAAAACAGCTTTTCATATATAAAAATTAGTAATTTTTTTTTTTTAATTGCTATTTAGGTGCCCCAAGAAGACCTAACGGTCTTGTCACAGAGCACCGCGGAGTGCATTTAACCGGGAAGTTCACGCCTTCTTCCTTACCGTGACGCGTAAATATGTCCAAGGCTCGTTTGGAACCTGGATCTCCTGCTTATAAAGCAAGCGTTCTAACCACTGCGCCACGGCCGCATAAGAATACTATATTGTATAGGATACTATATTATACTAAAAAGTAAGAAAAAAAAAGTCGTTCCGACCCCGAGAAAAAACAATTTTTTAGAAGTGCATATTTGATAAACAAAGACGTCTTAAAGACCCAATTTTTATGTCTTTTCATAACAAGAATAATATAAAAAAAGACGTCTTTTCGATGTCGAAAAAGACTGTTTTAAATTTGCATAATCGATCAAAAAAAAACGTCTTAAAGACATTGTAAATAAGATTTTTAAAAACGTCTTTTCGACGTCTTTATTCCCACTGGGTACTTATGTTATAATTAATTATAAAATTAAACTTTTTGCAATTTTTTGTATCTATTATTCAACTCTATTTAGTGCAAAATTCTCTAAAGAAATAGTTTTATTGTAAAACTATTTTTATGTAAAACTCTGCATTGACAATCAATAATAATTTTAAAAATTTTACAATCATTATTGATTGTCAAAGGAAAGTTTTACATATAAATGCATAAGAAATTGTTAAGGTTTTACAATTGTTAATGATTATCTGGATGCAAATTCACACTTTTTGCGTAATTCTTGCGTAGCTGATCAAAAGTAAAGAAAAGCTAATGCACGTTATTTTTTGCGTAACTATTTGATATTCACAACTTTTACGCAGTATTTGAGTAAAGTTAAGGTTGGCATGAGTTACGCAAAACTTAAGCAAAATTTGAAGCAAATATTTTATAACTATTTGTATAAAGTAAGTTGTTGGTATTACTAAATCTTTTTTTTATTAAGACATACAGAGCAAAGTAACCGAACAGTCAATGCATCTTTTTTTAGAGGCAGGACTTACATTTACTTAGACTTGAAATGTTTTTTTTTTTGTTACTATATAAAAAAATATAGCAAAAGTATATAGTGGCTATTCAAATATTACGTGACATTCTTAGATAGGTGGTGGTGGTGTGGGGGGAGGGTGTTTGAAAGTGTCACCAAATATCACGTGGGAAAAGGGGGTGATTAGCCACAGTGTGACATAACAAAATTTTTAAATTTTAAATTCTAGTCACAGCGAATTATTAAACTTTAAGCAAAAAGTAACAAATTCGAAGATATATTTGTTTAAAAATGTCACGTCGCGAAGAGGGGGGAGGGATTGTTTAAAATGTCACATTTACAAAGGTAGGGAGGGAGGTGAGTCTAAAAAACAGCACAAAAAGTCTCTCGCAATATTTGAATAGCCCCATATAGCATATACGTGCAATTACTTTTTAAAGTAAAAGAATATATAGCATAAACAGTCTTTTAATCTATTTTGAACTTCTATTAGCAAAAAAATCAATAATCGAAAAATAGAAAAATTTACAAAATAAGTTGTTTGGTTTTTTAAATGAGATGATAATTATTAACAAAGTGCTTCACATCTTTATTGTAAATATAAACATTATAAGCAATCAATAAGAACTAATCGGGGCATATTTACTCAAACCGAAATGGGTAATATAAATTGTATATGAGTTTATATAAAATAACTTTTTGGTTTCCTGTATGACGCCAACAGTGTATATACTTTTTAGCCTCTGCTTTTTTCTTTCTTAGCAGTTATAAACCTAGAGTTTATTTTTGAGATACCCTTTTGATTTAGCGAGATATAAAACCCTAACCCTGTTGCAAACCT